CCGCGTCAGTTTGACCTTCCTTGGGCATTTGCACTTGTTGGTGTTTAGATGCCATGACGCGGATTTGCTTGCCCCAAACTTGCACCTTGTCCAAGTGAGTCATTGCCAAATGTGCCTGGTGCGCATCGGTCATTTGAATCAAGGCGGAATCCTGTCGAAAAGAGAAAAAAAGCCAAGTTTTACTTATTTGAGGGTTTTTTTTCTTTCAAAAATTGCACCTCAAAATCTATACCCTCACCTCAAAAAAACCGAATTACAGTACTATGAATAACCGCATTTACTCGAGTACCACGCGACACTAAATTTTTTTTGGCATAGAATTCGACAAATAAACCTATTCCCGCACACTAAAGTTCACTGCTGTTCAAAATCTCTTTTTTTTTGAAAAACTACGCATCAAAGAATGGTCATTTAAAATTGTAAATAACACAAGAAATTGAATAATTACATGAAGATAAGTACCGAGCATAATTTTGGGGTGGTTATTTTATCCTCTGAATATTACCTAACGACTAGTACAAGAGGTTTCATGACTACATTTTTTCAAAAACTCGCATACCCCTTTTATGGCCTTAATTTCACGGAAAAAGGTGCACGTGGTACTCGGGTAAATATAGACCCTCTGAACTCGACGACTTCGGGGTATTATTTTCGTTAATCAGGACGAAAAGCATTAAAATGTCAGTTATGTCCTTTCAGAGTGAAGGTAGTGACTGGGCAAATGAACCCATGCCTTGAAGGTCAGCATCCCGTCAAACCGTTCAAGAAGCAGTTTAAAAAACCGGAATACAGTATCTCCAAATTCCTAAATTCTTTTTCTCCTCCAGCAAAAATGCTTGTCACCCAGGCTCGATTTTTTCGGCTGGTCTATCCACGAGAGAACGAATAAATTTCCCCGCAAAAATTGAATTTCCTCGAGGAAGGTTCGTCATAGGCAAAAATTAGTTAAAACTAAATTATAATCCAAATAATTTCGGGGCTATTAGAGAGGGACCGGAAAACCAAATTATTTGTAACCAATAACTCTTTAGATTCTACTTTACGAAGAAACCTTCTGCGACTTCTCCGTTGTATGTTTGATCTCGTGAAGTTGAACACGTAGAAATGAGTTATTTACAGATATAACAATTTCAAAGTAAGAATCATTCACCAGGAAACATATAAATTTCCCACCAAATAAATTTGATTCACTCCTCGAGGCACCACTAACAATACCGCCACCTCGAAGTTCTTTCTACGAACGATTTATCGCCAGGCCTAATCAGGAAAAGCAGCATTCAATATTCGCGATTCATATTTTAAATTTGCAATTTTTCAAATATTCCTCGCCTTCTTGTTGTACAAGATCTTGACACGCTGCACGTCCCCATAGACTCCGAACAAGGTGAACAACGCATCCGGCGACGCCTGGTCCTCGCTCAAATTCGACACCAGCAACACGTTGCCGCCATGCATCGGCTGGCCGTGGCCAGGCAATCCAAAAGCGCCAGCAATCCCCAGAGACGACGGCAAGCTTCCAGTCAAACCCAGGCCAGCCAGACCCATTCCGAGGCCGCCGAAGCCAGGCTGTCCACCCAGGCCTGGGCCGCCCAATCCGCCGCCGCCCAGGGCGCCCATGGCAGAGTCCAGTCCCGCGTCGCCGGTCGGAAGCCCGGGGTTCGTGAAGTCCCGACTCTTGTCATTGTTGAACTTGACGTTCAGGTTCGTCAACTTGGAGTACTCGATGCGAAGCGTGCAGCACGCATTATAGATGTTCTGTCCGTCCAGAGACAATTTGGCAGCTTGAGACGCCACCACGTCTGGGTACTGGATCAGAGCCTAAAAAACACGAACGAACGCCAGAATATATTTTCGGATTCAAGGAAACATTTCGATATTGTCTTCTCCTTTTCAGAAATTTCAAAACTTGTTAAAGATCAATGATTTAAATGGAAGTTTCTGCTTATCCCCCAAATAAAAAAATGGTTGATTTCAAAGGCGTTAAAGAATTAAGTGAATAAACTGCGTCATTTCCTGCTCTGTAGGGTCGCTTGATGTCTCTACCTGGTGGAGGACCTTTGAAAACAATGTACGACAGTAAGATATTGTTGAATAAAAAGCTACTGGGTCCAGCAATGTATGAAAAATCAGCAGTTAAAATTTTTTCGATTTTTACAGGGGAACAAAAAAATTCCGAGTTCAGGGAAACAAGCACTTGTTCAGGCGGAAAAAAAGAATTACCGGAAATAAAAATTGGTGATACTCTGCGTCGTAAATAGATTCATGATTTGACAGGATGCTGAACTTGGGAGTCACGGGTTCATTTTCTCAATCTGTCTTCTACTTTCAAAATGGATTAAGTTACATATGTATGGATAGGTTTGAATGACGTCCCAAAGAGAATTCAGAAAGGGAGTTGAAAAAATATCCGCCATAGGGAGGTATTCGATTTATCGAGTTTCAACTGCATGAAGAAACTCATTAAAATGTATGAGTAAGGACAATTGTTGAAAAAAATATTTTATTATTGTATTTTGTACAGTAATAAGATTCTAGATCATTCTCCCTAGCGCGTTTTAACAAAGAATTGTACCACATGAAACATAGCAGACTTTTCCAGCTCACAGCGAATTTTTGGCATTTGCGAAGAGAATCAGGTTTCAACTCAACGTTGATAATTCGCTTCTCAACGTTTCAGAACTTCAAAATAGGATGTTTCTTGCGTGTCCACAACGCAGAAAACCGTCGGATCCGTGGACGCAGGCAAAACTCCAAACCAGACTTGCCAATAAAGTTACGCAATAGCACTTTCCCCCAGTCGAAAAATGTTTACGTTCGCAGTTTTAAAAACAATCGTAAATTGCGACTAACTTATTTCTGGAGCGGGAGGCTCGACAAATTCAAAGAAAAAAATGATGAAATATTAGCAATGAAGATGAAGAAATCATGCTCACCTGAAACGTGCTATTTTTGGTGAAAGTGATGATCTTGAGAACGCGACCGGCACGCGAAAATATCTGATGCAGAACGTCCAAAGTGACCGGATACAACATGTGATCCACAACAACCCGCAAAACCGTGTTTGGGCCGCCTTGCGTTTCCGGAATGCCGCCAGCCATTCCTACTCCCGAATTAATGGCTTGAGCCGCTTGCAGCGCCGCCCGCGCCGCAGCGTTCGAGTTGGAGTGGTTTTGGTCGGTCTTCAATTCCTGCGTATGATCAACATGATCCGCAGCATGACCAAAAAATTCATCCCACACGGAAATTAAGTACAGTACGTGTTTTACATTTTCTATCTCCCCAACATGAGGCTACTGAAATGATAGACAACAAATCAGCCCTTGAAAACAGCCTTCGAGTAAGATGCTCAGGGACTTTCAGACATACATTTTGATAAAATTACAGTATTTCCTCAAGTAAGAGACGCACATCATTTTTAGCAACTCTAAAATAGCAATACAGGGGGAATCTGTCTACCGAAATTCAAGATTTAAAAAAAAGAGAAACGCCAGAACATGGAGAGAGAACCTTAAAGGACGACACTTATGTTACACAGAGAATATTGTTGCAGACACGATCCTCGTAGGGTCCACCTGTACTTCAAAAATAAGATTACATAAGCCAAATCCGGATTTAGACATAAATTGAACCTGAATTCAACGACATTTTCAATTGTTTCCATTAATATACGTTTTCTTCCTTGAAATTGATCCAAGATTTCCTATAATGCCTACCTTAACTTCTAAAATTTTGGAAAATGCTTTTCTACCTATGACGCAAACCCCCATTTTTCCTTTCAATTTTGGGGAAAAAGTTCCGTCGGTATACGAGTACGTACGGTGAGAGCACCCAAATTAAATTTTAGACATGAAGTGAACCAAAATCCAACAACTTCGCAAGGGTTCCTAATGGAAAAAAAAAAGTTTTCTATTGAATCAGTCAAGAATTTTCTACTAGAATCAACTGCTGTACAATGCACACCCAAACTCGTAAAATTTTTCGAGAAGCCGAATGACGCACACCCCCTTTTTCTTCTCTATTTCGAGGTGCACACAGTTCCTCGAGTGAAAGAGGAGTGAAAAAAAAAGAATTGAACCTTGTGGTTAGAGTACTGAATGTACACGGTCCTCCCGCGCAACTGCGCCGCACACGTGCCAAAGTAGGCCACCATCTGGGCCGCACTCGTCTCGTCGCCAAACTCGAGAAACGCCTGGTTCTTGCCCTTAAGCACCAGGACATTCGTTATCCGCCCAAACGGCATTCCCAGGTGGATCACCTCCGCCTCAGTCACTTCGTTGGGTATGTTGCGAATGTGGACGACGCGAGAGGGGCCGCCAGAGCCCTCCACCTTGATCTTCTTGGCCTCATTGTTGTTCTCGGTGGTGGCGGTCGTGGCGCCGTTCATGTGATTGGCATAGCCGGGCGTCGCGTCCATCATGGGGTTCATCGAGCTCAACATTTGCTCCGGGCCTCTCTTGGTTCCTGGCAGAACGATTCCTGAACTTCCACTTAGTAAACCGAAGACACCAGCGCTCATGTTACGGCATCAGCCTCGGAGAAATCCTGCGAAAAATCATGAAAATCGTCAAGTTTCATCAGCGAAAGGTTATTTTCATCAGTCATCGCAATTTATAATCGATTTAAAGTTACTCACACCGCATTTTCTCATGGTTTAACGCTGCTTCAAAACTCTGAATTTGATCCTCTGAATAATTATTACCTCATTATTTTCGATCATTTATTTCCTCCTCGCACTGTATTTCAAACGGAATATGTCTCGTCCTAAAAATGCTGGAAATTTAATCCAGAAGTATATTACTACAACGAGTCAGAGATAAAGAACCCCAGTACATAACATTATATTCCATTAACGCCTCAATTCAAAAGTTTGCAATTTCACGTCAGTATTCAATGAAAAGTTTTAATCTTTTCCAAAAACAATTATCCGAACTATCTCCCATGACGCAAAATATTCAATAATCATCTGAAAGGTTTAAAAGTGGCTGTCGAGTTAAAAAAAGAAAAAAAAAGTTCAAGAGTTTTTAAAAATCTCAGATCAATCAGAGCCGATATATATGTAAAGATCCAACGAACTGTTTTCAAAAAGGAAATTTGGAATAATCACAGTACAAAATGTATCGAACAAATGATACAGTAGTATCTTCTTAAAAAAAGAATAATCGATTAAAACGAAATAATTTCCTAAGCCCAATAGCCGCGATGTTGAAGGATTTACTGTTTAACGAAATATTCGTTACAAAGAAGCTATTTTACTGGTCCCAATGGTTTCGTTTTAACGAGTTTTCATTTTAGTAGATCATACCCACGCCGACTCGTTATATTGCAATGAAATTTAAAATTCTCATCGATTCTCCAAAAAAATTTTCACTGTTCAAGAGAACATCGTAATACAAATTAAATTAACATTGTGAAAATCTCAGCCTTCGCGTAAAACTCATTCATTTCTCAGATAATTATACATTGCCGCTCCTGCGGTCGACATGAAAGTCGGAAGAAATTCACACTAACAGCAAACAAGGAGGATCATTAGGATAACGATGAATAATTTTAATAGCTAACTACACCCTCAAATTACAACATTTAATTGAAATTCACGAACAACACACATTTTTTCACATTTGAAAATGAGAAAAATAAAAGAAAGAGAACACAAAAGTGAGATTAAAAAATGAAGGAAGAGAAAGAGAAAGAAGGCTCACCAGCAAAGACGCGTCAGAACCTTTTTAGAACCAGAGTGTGACGGAAGAAGTGAAGAGGAATATTTGTTTCCTACTCTGCCTCGATTAACAGCAGGCAAGTTGAAACGAAGAACAGGACGTTGGATAAACAAGAAAAACGATTTCACCACGACACGCGTGGAGCACAGAAAATTGAGACGGTTTTCCTCACTTTTTCAAAAAATATCTACCGAAAATAAAAACGAAAAAGAAAGTTCTTTAACCTCGACACTCGAGCACGAGAAATAATTTAAACTTCAAAAATACTGCCCATTAATCAACACGAAAACAAGACGCTATCAGTTTTCCTACACATTCCATTTTTCGTTTTTCACGAGAAAAATATTTATTGCATATTGCGCTGCCAAGTTTAACACGCTCCGCCACTTCTTCACAATGCGTCAAGAACCCTCGAAAAGGGTTCACTCTAAAAATGAATCTTCTCGCAAAGCATGCTTCGAAATGACGAAATCCATGAATTTAAGATCTCTTTATCCCGCCTTCACATAAATAAGCCTTACACAAGAAAATGTCACGAGTTGGAAATATTACTGTACAGTAATATACCGGATAATGGACGCATCGCATGATGTGATCTTCAGCACAATTGACACTAGTCGCCATTTTTCTCTCGTTTAGTCGACGATTCTTTAAACAACCATAAAAAGCGATTGTATTCCCTGTATATTACGGCAAAAATGTGGAAACCATCATGAATTTAGAGAGGAAAACAGATTTTTACTTTAGATGGATTCGAGAAATTTGTTTCCGCTCTTCGACACAAATAAATAATTGATCAATAATGCCTGCAGGGTATTTATAAAGCAACAACAATTAAAAATTTCTCAGTAGACGACTTTTTCACTTCAAAATTCATTTTACATTAGACAAAGCGCCACATTTTTCCATACTTCCCGGAAAAACTGACTATGCCATGAATCCATTTACTGAGTCACCGAAGTACAGAGAAGGAGTTGCGAACAGTCGAAATTTCAATTTTTATCTCAAGCTTTTTAAACTTCGCTCAGATCTCAACAAAATTACGAGTACAATTCGTTCCAGAGTAAAGCAGAAACTCTTCAAGGTACTGAATTACCGCATTTTCAAAAACAAATAAACTTGCGTTTCGCACGTGAATTTTAGACGGATCAACTAAAACCTTATAAGCCTCACTCAATTCGCACAAATACGGCACAGCATTCGCAAAAAGGCGTCTTCGGTTAATAGTTCATTTTTTAAACGAATCATTGAATAGCATCTCGCATCCGAATTTCAGAAGAATATATAAATAAAAACAAATGAGTCTCGATTCGCATTAATATGGTACAGCATCTGCCAAAAAAACAATTGTCTTCAGTTAAAGCCAACGAAAAATACAAAGGTATATTCTTCTGTAGTAGTCATAAAAAAATACTTCATTAAAAGAACCCCTTCCTAGTGGGAACGGGACAGAGAGAGGTAGAGAGAAAGCGGCCACGTGAACACGGGCGTTGACCCTTCTCCCCGCAGATTTTTAGCACAGAAAATAGCCCAGAACCCAGGAGATCAACAAAATTACGAGTACAATTCGTTCCAGAGTAAAGCAGAAACTCTTCAAGGTACTGAATTACCGCATTTTCAAAAACAAATAAACTTGCGTTTCGCACGTGAATTTTAGACGGATCAACTAAAAACTTATAAGCCTCACTCAATTCGCACAAATACGGCACAGCATTCGCAAAAAGGCGTCTTCGGTTAATAGTTCATTTTTTAAAGGAATCATTGAATAGCATTTCGCATCCGAATTTCAGAAGAATATATAAATAAAAACAAATGAGTCTCGATTCGCATTAATATGGTACAGCATCTTCCAAAAAAACATTTGTCTTCAGTTAAAGCCAACGAAAAATACAAAGGTATTTTCTTCTGTCGTAGTCATAAAAAAATACTTTTAATTTTCTTGGGGAAGGATCACCCTTGCCCTGTCTCTCTCCATCTCTCTTTCGCCGGTGCACTTGTGCCCGCAACTGGGAAGAGGGGCGTCTAAAAATCGTGTCTTTTATCGGGTCTTGGGTCCTCGAGGAGCGAGAGAAAGAGACACGTCCCCCTGTCGGAAGACGAAGAAGAAAAAACAAAACAAAAAAGAGGGACAGAACCAGACCAGAGCGGAACGGGAAGTAGATGAACTCTGCTCACCTTGTGCCGGCATGGTGGCAACGAAACTCGGCACACACACACAAAAAATATATATGTACGAAGTGATTTATTCTTCGCGAAGTTTCCCTTTCTTGCTCAAACGGCTGCTCTTGACACCTGCAGAAAAAAAAAAGATCAGCCAAAATACCAACCAGACGAGATGAAGAGGGAGTCTCAATTGTTCTTCTCCCATTTTCCACGAGTTAGCGGGTAACATGTACTTACCAGACAAGCGGGTTTGAATGATTGTGGAATTCTGAACTCACCTTCGCAGACCAGCGCAAAAATCCCCGAAGTGCCAAAACCATAAAGTATTACAACAAAACTGTTCCATCGCGTTAAACTCGAGTCAATACAATTAAACTGTATCGAACGCTTGAATTATACTCAAAATATTATCGAGAATTGCGTGTTCATCGTGTTCACAAGAAAACAAATTGGTTGAAGACTATCTTCCGTGAGACACATTTCGTAAAAAACCCACCGAAGCCCTCATTTACACACAATCTCAAATTTCTACAGCCACTTCAAGGATTAATGCTTCGAGGTAAAAATTCACAGCACAACGTTAAAAATGACAATTTCCCTACGAATACAATAATTGAGTGAACGAATCAAATGGTCAGACATATGCCCGAAAAAATGGGACGAGAAACTTGATAGTAAAAGGACGGTTTCATTTACTTCTTTTAATAGTAGTCATTGCGAATCGAAAGGTATAAAGTATTTCGCGAGAAACTTTTGTTTTTCATCTACTGGCTAAATGCTCGTCAAGTATCTCTGGAACAAATGAATTCACGATGTCCGAAGTACATTGAAATGAAGCTCATGCCAATTTCTTATAGAAAGTTTCCATTGTCGTGATTAAGAGGATTGTTTGGACCGCATTTGTATCAAACAAACATAGCCAGAAGAAATCGCGATGTGTTTTCTTACAAGATTTTTTCAAAGAGGCTTTGCAAATTTTCATCCGTTCAGAGAAGCCTTTCGTGCATCTTCAGTCAAGATACATGAATTGATCACCAATCTTGTGAAAATCAAAATTTATTAATGATGAAAAATCTGATCCAGATACCAGCGTAACTAAATAACAGCCTGTCAATACCTGTCTCAGACAGTGTCCCTTATTCCGAATGACTAATAGGCACAGAAACCAGTGTTCGTCTGCGTGTCGTTCAATCACAGTAGATTTAGAATCCAGTCAACGACTTTTGCCCAATATGTATATAAGACTAGTGACTAAAAAAAAATCTTCAAGTTTCCAGCCGAACCTTTCAAGTGTATTGTGCGAACGGGCAGAAGTCGTATTAAAATATTCAAGAAGCAGAGAGAGAAAGACACTGGCGGAGGCTAAAGTCTGTTTTTGTAAGTGAGGCGTGAAGGCGCAAACCGTTAGAGCGAAGCCGTGTCAAAAGGTCACAAGATTCTGTCAGGTCAGGAGTTTTTCGACCGTCCCAGAAATTTTCTTCAGCATGATGGATGTGTCAAAGGTAGTAAAGAAGTTATTCACTTTGTAATTATCTTCGTCTGAAATTTCGGAGACAACGGCATTTGAAATTACAGTATCTGAAAGAAATATAATTAGCCTTTCATCCCAATAAGCCTCTAGACACATGCTAGAATAAATTCAAGTATTCATTCCAAGAAACATTCCTTGAAGCCCAGCTTTCCAAATATTCAGAATACAGGATAAGTTTTGGTTGGGAACTTCAATTTACTGTATTCTAAAAATAATTTCAGCTGGTCTGAAGAAGTTCAAATCTCGTTCTAACGAATAATCGCTTCCAACGAAGTCGCTTTTTAGGCCTATGCCCATTAGCCATAATGTTGAATGTAGAGTTCCTCCAGAAAGAATTATTCGTTACGACAAAGCTGTTCAACTGGTCCAAATACTGTAGCTTCGTTTTAACGAGATTTCCCGTTTTACGAAACGTTGCTAGCCCAAACAATTTTACGGAAATTCCCCTGTCCGTGAACCCCAAGAGAGAGGTTCACTGTTCTGAACAGTACACGTGTCTTCTCACCAGAATCCAGTCCTCGCTAAAAATGAAGTAAAAAAAAAACCACCTCATGAGGAAGTATCGTACCTAAGACCTCACACGCGCAACCAGAACGAAGTGAAGGACTGAGAGACGGGAAACAAAAGAACAGTAGAGAAATATATCTTTTAAAAAACGAAGGGCTACGAAAATTTCGACACAAAGGTAAAGAAAAAGAAGACGAACCTGGCAGCTGTTACAGTCTCCCTGGCTGTTCCCCACCGTCGGGAGGAAAGTCTGGGGAAGACGGGAGAAAGGAATCCGTCGAAAACACGCAGGCGGAAAACGCGATCCCCCGGATCTCTAATCCCTCCGGCTGATATGAAAAGGCACAGGGGGAAATAAATTGGGGGAAAAACTGGCAGGAAAGCGGAAAGAAGACCTGCGACCCGCACAAAAAAACACCAGGGAGGAAACAAAAAAGATCGGTTAAGAGCTCAAAATGCCGAATACGTTCAGAATTCAATCGACAACAAATGATGATAAAAAAAGGAGCGGGAATCACAGAACTCCTCCGCTTTTGATATCCCAACTCAACCTTCATTCGCCTCTCGAAACCAACATCCACCATTTGAATATACCAAACCGAAACACAAAAAAAAACCAGAATAAAAGTTTTACCATTACATTAAAAAAGACATGAAACAGAGTAAAATCAAAATTGCCCACGTTGAGTTAGTTTTTTTCAGCTTGAATGATTGATGTCAAATGTGGTCATCCTTCTTCAACGAGACCTGGAACGGGATCGGGAACGCGATTTCGACCTGGAATATGACCTCCTCGGCGAATAATTCGGAGAACCGCGGTCACGAGGAGACCTCGAACGGCGCGATCCAGATCCTCCACTTGCATCTTCCTTGACTCGAATGTACGCAGTGTCACCCTGTGATTTCAATTCAGAATATTTCTATAATTCATCCAAGCACAAAAAGAATTGGATTTGAGAATTTTCAATGTTAGAATTTTCAACATTCACTTTATAAGCCTAGAACACGTCCCAATCTCTGGGACATTCTATAACTTCATGGCCCACAGTGGGGTTTAATCGAAATCTGTGAATGTAGTCGAATCGATAGAACGTAATTATATTTAGTCCACTCTAATTTAGTTAGTTTGAAAAAGTTCAGTTTGAAGCTTCCTGGTCTTTTTTTTTTACTTTCGAGCTGAGGAAGCGATTTTTTTGTGGAGGGGAGGAAAATAAAGAAGAATTGCAAACAATTTTAATTAGTGACATTCTGGACCTTAAATTACTGTGCTTCTTTAATGAGTTGACAGGATGCTCAACTAGGACGTAAGGGTTCATTCGCCTCATTAGTCTTTTACTTTCTTTAAAAATGCATCAGGTTACATGATCATTGCTTTTCTCTTTCTTGGGTAGATGAAATAATAGCCATAATGCCTCTAGAAAAATTCGAGTGACGGAGGTTTGAGAAGGAAAGCGTTTCGAGTTTGGTAGGATTTAAAGGCATCATTTATAAGGAAATCCTCAATCATGACAGGGACTTGAGAAAATTCAAATGATCCAGGTTCAACTGCATATTCGACTCAACACGGATGAATTTATTGATTCAAGCGTTACCAACTCGAAATTCCAAGATGCAACAACAAGGGGTGACGTTTGCAATCAAAACCTATTCCCACTTCGAAACATAACGAACTCAACGCTTCAAATAAAAACGAACAAACTGTCACGAATTTTTACAATTCGTCTCTGAGCTCGCAAAACGGTTGACATATTATCTATTTGTTTTCCTTCTTTAACGAATCAATGACTGACCTCGTGAGATTTGAACTTGGTGTCGTCCAGCTTTCTGATGGCATACTTCATGTCTTCCTCGCGCAAAAATTCCACAACTCCGGTTCCATCGCGGTCCACGTCAGCGTAGCAAACTTCTCCGGCTTCACGCATGTGGTCCTTCAAGTCTTGCCAACTGCCAGTGCTCGGTAATCCTGTTGAATCAAGAGAAACGACCTCAAGTGACTTCCACACACGATATCTAGAAACTCGATTAAATTTACATACTGTAAATAGTCAAAGTTCAAGATAGAAGAGAGACTTATAAAAAATGGGAGAAAACTTCAAGGGGGCCTTCGGAAAAGATCGCGATCGTCCAGCAATTGTAATGTAAATAATTCGACAACTTCCGATTACGTTGCGATGTCATGACCTTGGTCAAGTTCTGGAAATCACGCAAAACCTGCTTCACGATCATGGATTCCCAACTGTGGAATCCGGATGACTGAATAAAAGTTTTTGGAAAACAATGTTTTCACTGAAGCTTCAGATGTCTCGCAATTTCAGATGATTTCAGGCGTGACAAAAAGCAAAAAAATGAATCCTGACCAACCAAAATTAAATCAGCGTAGAAAATTGAGAAAAAATAGCACAAAACCTCTGTGATGGGTGAACAGAGACGATGGAATTGTGTTACAGTCCGACTTCGAAAAATGTGAAACTAGCTTAGTTAAGACCCATACAATAGATCACTGCAGGACCACATTCAGGAAGTTTACATTTTAAGAATGAAATTGTGAACGTAATTCGACAGAAGAACTTCCTGTAGGCACTTAATGACCCCAGATATCCCTTCACTAATATTTGCACATGCATACAACGAAAGAAGATTAAAGCTACAGGAAGTCAAGGTAAGCTTGCAAATCGATCAAGATACAATAATTAAAAAAAAAAAAAAAAAACATTTCAAACAGCGACTGAAAGACACAGTAAAATTCTAAAACTAGCCAGTTTGTATCCTTCAGAGTACCTGAAGCTAAGACCTTTCCAACTCAAAGCCTGTAAGATACGAATGAATTCTACGTCTTACACAGAGTACATGCGACGGTGAAAAATTAAATGATATGCCTTCAGAGAATTCATCAAAACTGAGACCCTATAAAAAAATTTCACGTTTCAGCGGCAACTTAATTATTTCAGTAACATTCATATTTGCGACACTATTTGGATCAATTTCGGTTTGAAATGTTTACGTTTCTTTGGCACATTACCTGAAATATTCAACATTTGCACTTCCTGTTCACAAGAGATAATACCTGTAACGCCACGACACTTCAGTGTAAGCCTATTTGCACAAGGGAGCTACGATTATGCCTGGAGGAAGTGGATGAGAGATTACGCTGTATTACTTTTCGTTTGCTCAGTTCAGCCTTCGGACTTGTTCTTCACCCACAGACGTAAAACTTCAACAGTAAAATGCAATAAAAAAACCTAGAAAAAGTCACTTGAACATCTTATCAACGGCCGGAGTCGAGAAGTAGAAAATAAACCGCCAAGAATCAGTAGAAAGCGATATTTCACTTGGAAGTTTCATACTGTATTCTCGTTTCCGTACATGTCTTCGTCAATTTGGTCGAAATACTGTATTTAAGCAGAATAATCTAGATTCTTCATGCACAAAATTTAAATTCCATTAATAGGCGAATATAAGCAACCACTTAATTTCCTGGCGTTCTGACTTTCCAGGAACCTAAAATCTTTGATCAAATTTAGGATTTCCCCAGAAGAGGAAATACGGCGTCGAACAACTCTCACTTTTCCCTTCAGCAAATGACTCATGTATCTCAAAGTGCAAAAATCCGACAATATCCTGAACTCTTCATGCGAATAAAACGCATACCCTTGTTTTCGAGCTTCTAAAATTGAAATAAAAACGGGGCACTTATATTCAGGTATTCATGCCATTCACATAAAAATGCGTGTATATCAAGAAATCATCGTGTTCGCGGTCTACGAACGATTGAGCACTTGTGGACTTCGGTACAGTAAAAACGGCGTAAACTGATGACATGCATAATGGAGCTAATTTTTTTCAAGAAGGTCACCCAGTTCTTCGAACAATAATATAAAATCTGAGAATACGAGAAAAAAGATTTAATTGGATGCAGGCAGATCTGAGGAGAAATTCTTTCCAGTCTTCAATTTTGAAAATCTCTTAGAATCAAATTAATGTACTCAATATAACAAACTTTTTCTTATGTTCCCAAAAGTTTGTTGTTACAACTTAGCAAAATATTACTTCACTCATCATTCGACTCGTCAGCGTTGAGGGAAATTGCTGAGGTTCAGTACAGTACAGTGCTGTAAAATCAACATGGGCGACGAACAGCCGACATTTCGAAAAAACAAAGGCAGAGTTTTGCTCAACCAAAAAAAAAGAATTCGAGTAAAGAGGCCATGTAAACTCGACGTTAACGTCACGCATAGCCTCCCTATCAACAAAATATGGAACACTTAGAAAAGTAAAATAAAATCAACACTCACCGGTAACCAGAACGCGATACGGGGTTCGCTTCGTCGGCGGCCCACGTCCTCGTCCGCCGCCACCAGCACCACCACCGCCGCCGCCACCGTCCCGACGTCCACCCGGCCCCCGAGCAGTGCCACGAGGAAACTCCACGCGCAACTTGTAGCCATCGTAATCGTATCCATCTCTCGCATGCACGGCGTCTTCACAATCCCTGTTACCCACAACGCGACACAATCCCGCGGGTTCCACAACAAAAGTTGCGTGTTAGTTCGGCAAACACTTTTTTAAAAACAAAACGGCTCCTTCTTCCCGCCAGCCGAAATCCATCCAAGTCCAGATCCAACGACTAAATCCCGCTTAGAGTCCAGCAAAGTGATGGGAATCCGGAAATATCCCATGGGTTAAATTTTAAGTGATCCGTTCTGAACTTCCCGTCATAATCCGGTTTTGAAGCGCAGAACAGTAGATAATTGGGGTTCAACCATAGAAGAAAGAACATACAAAACTCCATAAAACTTCCTGCTCGTCTCAACATCTTAAGAATTCCTGCCGATGCAAACCCAATTCCTTCACATCAATTATTTACGGTCTTCAGGAAACGAAAATAAAACCATTCCAGAGTCTAAATAATTTCAATTCCACGAAATGGAAATGGAATGAACTCACCTTGAGTCCTCGAATTCGACGAAGGCAAACGGCGGCCCGCGTTTATTCTTCAAGTCGACGAACACAATTCGACCGAATTTGTAAAACAGATCCTCAATGTCCTTCTCCCTGATGTCCGGGGGAAGGTTTCCGACGTAAATGCGACAGTCGTTGCGGCCCGACATCGTTTCTTCACTCGGTTCACTTTGACTCAACTCTGGTCAAGTATGAATCACAATTCTTCGACCCCCGCTTTGAATCACTTCCACGGAATCTGCACCTTGTCTGTGCTTGCCACGTGTGACAGTGACTCCACCTTTCCTAAGCTTGAAGCTTTTTCCCCTAAGCTAAGCTTTTCGATGTGTGTTACTTGACTTGTTTTTTTACGTTACCCAAAGCTTTTCTCTGCGCATTCCGCAAACCGAAAACTTCGGATGCACGAGGCCAGCGATTTGTACGCGCCTATTCTCCATTACAGGGGTGACGCCATGACCTAACAACATTCCCGCCATCTATGTACAGTGCATTGCACTGTAGACTGGTAGAGGATTCCGAGAATTGTCTGTGACATGAACAGGATGGAATAATAAGATACTGAAGGAATAAGTCCTCGGCCAGCGTCACGGTTAACCAGGAGCGTTTAATTCAGTCCAAACTCCGGCAAATGACAGACTCGTCGCAACACAAAATATCACAATCACACAACAATAAGTCAGTCAGATAAAATACAACTTTCTTGGTCAAGGCTCAACAACCGAATGAATCCTAGAGACACTGATCTCCCACGCACCTCCTCCGATCGAGATAACCATCTGTGTCCTGCTTGCGCTGGGGTGGGTAATCCGTTCGGGCGCTCGAGATAAAAGAATAGAAGGGGTAGANCTCCTCCGATCGAGATAACCATCTGTGTCCTGCTTGCGCTGGGGTGGGTAATCCGTTCGGGCGCTCGAGATAAAAGAATAGAAGGGGTAGATGTCGCTTGTTAAGGGTCCTATAGGGATCCCTTACTCTCCCCCCCCGGAGAAAAATGGGGTCTGTGTAGAGAACAAAGGACTACATTTTTCTATGGAAGGGAATAGGTGTGGTCGGGGCGAACTCCGGAATGACTGGGTGAAGCCAAGAAATAGTCATGGTCCCGGAAGACGTTGGCTTGTGAAGAAAAGCCGGCGTCTGGAGAGGCAAAAATTAGATCTGAGTCCAGGTACGGGTCTGAGCCCGGTTGAGAAAAGAGAGGAGAAAGAGATTCGGTCCAGATTGGGTCTGGTGGTCGAGGTAGGCCGCGGGCAGGGACGAGTTCCCATGCGTTGGCCCTGCAGATGGATTTCTCCGCACCAATGTGGTACTCTCCATGGCCGAGGTCTCTGATGACGATGAATGGGCCCAACTGTTGAACTCGGAATCGGCGATCGGCGGCGTGCTGTTTGACTGTCGGGAGCCGTGGTCGCAGGGCTACGAGATCGCCGGGTTTGAATTTGGGCCAGAGTTTGCGGTCTGCTGAGGAGCAAAACTCGGCGCGGGCCTTTGCGTTGACTTCCGGGATCCGGGCCAATTGCTGGCTGATGTCGGGGGGTTCTACTCCAAAGGTCTTGTCAGATTCCAGCGCGGACGGTGTTTGAAAAAACGCCTCTGCCGGGGTCACGCCTGTAGAAGAATGAATGGTATTATTGTAGGCCAGGACAGACTGAAAAATGTGTTGATCCCAGGTGACACTGTCTCCCTGAGCCGCCTTTGCTTGGATTTGGGTGAGTGTGCGAATCGCCCTTTCACAACATCCATTTCCCTCAGAGTGGGAGGCTTGAGCTACATGCTGCTGCACCCCTGCGTCGCGAAGAAACCATTTAAACGCGCGCGAGCGGAATACAGAATCACAATCAGTGTGAACTATCTGGAACAATCCGAATTGGCGGAAGAGCTCCGCAAGAAAAGGTACAACTGTAGGGGTATCGGCGTTAGCTATTGGTTTCACCATCATATATTTACTGTAATGGTCCACTGCTACAATGGCGTAACGGTGGCCACTGGTGGAGGTTGGAAGCGGTCCGTAAAAGTCCAGGGTGAGTTGCTGCCTGGGAGATGAAGACACATAGCCAAGGTTGAACTGAGGCTGAAAACACCACCCTCGTAACATCGCCTTTGTGCAAAACGTCGTAACCTACGCAAAGGTCTGCAGGACTGCCTCTCTAAAGGTAAACTTCGCGACAAAGTCCCAGAGGTATATCTTCTTCCAACCCGCGTGGCCCTGCTCTTGATGGTAGCTGTCTATAATCTGGTGCCGTTGTTCCTCATCGAGCACCTCGCGGACTTCGGTGGCGTTGATGGTTACCCTGCTTAGCGCGTCGGGGCCCTTGAGAAAGCGTCCGGGTTTGTAGACGATCTTAGCCCTGAAAGAAGCCAGTTTAGTCTGCAAATAAATTAAGCGGGTGGTTTTAAGTTCCCCCAACAGTGCCTTGTGATCGGTAAAAACAGTAAAATCGCGCATCTCGAGATAATGGCGGAATTTTTTTGTAACCGCCCACACGATGGCTAAAAGTTCGCGTTCTGAATTAGAATACCGAGATTCCGTGTTGCTGAGTGTGCGGCTAGCGTACTCTACGACGTGCGGGTGTCCCTCCTCGTCCAACTGTACCAGGATGGCGCCGAGTGAGGTATGGCTAAAAGTTCGCGTTCTGAATTAGAATACCGAGATTCCGTGTCGCTGAGTGTGCGGCTAGCGTACTCTACGACGTGCGGGTGTCCCTCCTCGTCCAACTGTACCAGGATGGCGCCGAGTGAGGTAGAAGAGGCATCACAATGAACTTCGGTTGTGCGGGCGGGGTCCATCCGCTCCAGACGTGCCGAATTTGCCAAAATATCCTTTAGGTGAGAAAACGCTTCGTGTGCCTCCGGGGTCCATAGCAAGCGCGTGGCCGGTTTGGCAGGGATAATTTGCCGCAGGACTTTTTCAGATGTGGCAAAGTTGGTGGGCAGGTGAGCGCGGAGATACGTTGCCATGCCCAAAAACCGCTGCATCTGCCTAGTTGTCTCGGGCTTTGGAAAGCGACGGACAGCATCTAAGTCTTTGTCGAGTGCCCTGGTGCCAGTCTGGTCGATCTCATGCCCTAAAAATATGGTCTTTTTTGCTAAAAAGGTAGATTTTGCGAGATCAACGGCTGCGCCAGCTTTTTCGAGGTCTGTAAGAATAAGGTTAAGATTAAAACAAACCATTTCAAAAGTTTCGCCAAAGACGATTATGTCGTCCATGTAGACTAGGCAGCGTAAAAACAAATGTTCCCTGAGAATATGGTTAACGGCCCGCTGAAAAGCTGCTGGGCCGTTTTTCAACCCAAAAGGCATCACGCGGTACTGCATCTGGCCCCGGGGGGTCCAAAAGGCAGTTTTCGGTCGATCCTGGACAGAAAGAGGGAGATGATGGAAGGCAGAATGGAGATCCAAGCTGCAAAAATAGGCATTATTCCATGGCTAAAAGTTCGCGTTCTGAATTAGAATACCGAGATTCCGTGTCGCTGAGTGTGCGGCTAGCGTACTCTACGACGTGCGGGTGTCCCTCCTCGTCCAACTGTACCAGGATGGCGCCGAGTGAGGTGGAGGAGGCATCACAATGAACTTCGGTTGTGCGGGCGGGGTCCATCCGCTCCAGACGTGCCGAATTGGCCAAAATATCCTTTAGGTGAGAAAACGCTTCGTGTGCCTCCGGGGTCCATAGCAAGCGCGTGGCCGGTTTGGCAGGGATAATTTGCCACAGGACTTTTTCAGATGTGGCGAAGTTGGTGGGCAGGTGAGCGCGGAGATACGTCGCCATGCCCAAAAACCGTTGCATCTGCCTAGTTGTCTCGGGCTTCGGAAAGCGACGGATGGCATCTAAGTCTTTGTCGAGTGCCCTGGTGCCGGTCTGGTCGATCTCGTGCCCTAAAAATATGGTCTTTTTTGCTAAAAATGTAGATTTCGCGAGATCAACGGCTGCGCCAGCTTTTTCGAGGTCTGTAAGAATAAGGTTAAGATTAAAACAAACCATTTCAAAAGTTTCGCCAAAGACGATTATGTCGTCCATGTAGACTAGGCAGCGTAAAAACAAATGTTCCCTGAGAATATGGTTAACGGCCCGCTGAAAAGCTGCTGGGCCGTTTTTCAACCCAAAAGGCATCACGCGGTACTGCATCTGGCCCCGGGGGGTCCAAAAGGCAGTTTTCGGTCGATCCTGGACAGAAAGAGGGAGATGATGGAAGGCAGAATGGAGATCCAAGCTGCAAAAATAGGCATTATTCCGTCCGAGGGCGTCCAAGAGGTCCTGGATAATCGGCATTGGATACCTGTCATCGGACAAAATATTATTCACTGCCTGATAATTTTCTACCAATCGCCAGTGCCGATGCGGCGGGGCGTTGGGGTCTGGATTCTTTTTCTTAGTTAAAAAGGCAGGAGAGTTGTAGGGAGAAGAGGCCGGCTCGATAATCCCGGCTTCGATGTACTCGTCAACCAAAGAAGAGAAGAGGTTGTTCATCTCTACCGACTGGCGGAATGAGCGGGTATTGGGTATCTGATTGTCGATGGTCTGCAAAGAAACGGTGTGTTCGGGGAAAAAGCCCCGGCGTCCGGACCACTGATGGAAAACATCGGCGTGGTTAATCAGGATTTGCCTTAACTTGTCCCGTTCCTGGTCTGAACCATCGATGAACGAGATGCCTTCACCTATTGAAAGAGTAGGTGCCGCCCGGTTCTGAACTGTGCGCTGGAAACCGACAAATGCCCTGTCGCCGTCAAGGGTTAGGGCTAGAGGTAGATGCCGGAGCGCTGTGCGACCTAAGATAATCGGCGGGTCGGACAAATGAGGGAGGATTAGAAGAATGATGGAATAGTTGAGACCCCGGAAGACAAACTGAAGGGCCACCTGCTGTGTGACCTTTGCGGTATCAGCGGTGAGGGCCGTCTGGACGTGAATAGAACAGGGTTGGGGTTGAAGATGAAGGGTATTTACCAACTGCTGAGCAATGAAAGCATGCGAAGCCCCAGTATCTATTAAAGCAGGTATAACAGCGCTCCCGATCTGTAAAGGTATGACGATGGGAGGAGGCGCGGCGAGATCCCGTTCCTCACAGTGAGCCGCGTTCACTATGACGGACGCCCGTTTCCCTGTAACACGAGCGGACAATTTTTGCCAATGTGCCCGGGCGCATGACAATGAAAACAATAAATGGTATTTCCGGAAGGCGTATGATTAGTAGAAGGGGGCTGGGACGATTGCGCGGATCGTGCAGCCGGCTGCACTGCTTGAGCATCCGGT